ATATATATATATATATAGGTTTATTTTATTTATATGCTGTGTATATATTCTCTAACAATACTCGCAGACGCTCCTGTTCAAACAATTATAATAAATATATATATAATATATAATATATATAATATATATAATATGTTTATCTATTTATTTTATTTATGTACATGGGATGAACAAACGCACATCGACAGAAAAACTAACAGAACAAATAAACAAATAAATAAACAACAAAACAAACAAACAAATTAATGAGTAGATAAAAACAAATAAACAAATAAATAAATAAATAAATAAATAAATAAATAAATAATTGTTTAAGTTTAACCACCGAAAAGAAACAAAGATGCGGCTTCTGCTGCTCCACTACACTCACAAACCCTAAACCCTAAACCCTAAACCCTAAACCCTAAACCCTACCTGAGTAATGATGGAGGGCGCCAGCAGCGCTCGTTGTTTGCTTGCAGTTGCAGCAGCAGCTGCTGCTGCACTTTGCAGTACATAGCGCTCTGGGGAATCGAAAGACCCAGCAGCAAAAGCAGCAGCAGCACTTTGCTGCTGCTGCTGCTGCTGCTGCTGCTGCTGCCAAAGCCAAGAAGGATGATATAACTGAGGGCGCAGATATCGCGCGCTGCCTTCAATTGACCCCCCGTCGGGAAGCGCCACCTGTGCATACACCCCAGAGCAGCAGCAGCAGCAGCACGTTGCATGCAGCAGCAGCAGCAAAGCCAAACATATCCTCTCATCCTATAGACAGCTGCTTCGTGCATACAATCTGCCTACTGTTCCTTCCTCCTGCTACTGCTGCTGCTGCTGCTGCTGCTCCTTGCTGCTGCTATTGCTGCTGCTGCTAGGATGCCTGCAGCAGCAGCAGCATATCTTTTGTTGCATGTGAGCTTCCAGCTTCTGCTGCTTCTGCTGCTGCTGCTGCTCCTTGCTGCTGCTTCTGGTGCTTCTGCTGCTGCTGCTGCTGCTGCTGCTTGGAGACTCACCACAACGTTAGGTGGAGGGAATTTCAGCTGCGACGAGAGGCTTCCACCTGCGCCTGCCGCCTTGCTGCTGCTGCTGCTGCTGCTGCTGCTGCTGCTCAAAGGCTGCATATGAAGCGGCAGCAGTCTCTGCGTTTGCAACAGCTTCGCCACCCTTGGCAGCTGCTGCTGCAGCAGAGAAGATGAACTCAGCAGCAGCAAAAGCTCGCGCTGCTGCTGCGGCATCCCTTGCATGCGTCGCAGCACTTGCAGCAGCTCTCGTAGCTGCTGGGCCGCAGCAGCAGCTGTGGGGCGCACCCCAGCAGCTGCAAGCGGCAGCTGCCTTTGCCTGAGCAGCAGCCATGGATTCAGCTGCTGCTGCTGCTTCTGCTGCTGCTGCTGCTGCGTGCTGTCCAACAGCTCTGCAGCAGCATCAGCGAGACGCGCGAGAGACAATTTCTCTGCTAAGACGCCTGCAGCAGCAGCAGCATCTTCTGCTGCAGGTGAGCTTCCATCCTCTGCCCCTCCTGCTGCTGCTGCTGCAGTTGCTGCTGCTGCTGCAGCCATCTTTAGCAGCGCATGCTTCCTGCGCTGCAGCCCTCCCTCACCATCACCAGATTCAAATGCAGCAGCAGCTGCTGCTGCTGCTTCAGCTTTCCGTTCTGCTGCAGCTGCATTTTCTGTTCCTGTCCCCGTTGCTGCTGCTTCTGGTGTTGCTGCTGCTGCTGCTGCTGCAGGTTGGCGTTTCTTAGCAGCAGCAACGCGCTGCTGCAGCCGCTGATGCGCCTGGTCAGCAGCACAGCCTAAGTGCGATGACAGCCTCCAAGCAAAATGCTCTTGAAGAAACGTGCCGGCCTCGATAACTTTATTTATTAATTCTTTTCTTCTCTCCATGCCCTCCGTCCTCAACATAAAATCAGCAGGCGACGTCGTTGCGCCGCTGCAGCAGCAGCAGCAGCAGCAAATGCAGCAAACGCAGCAAATGCAGCAAATGCAGCAACAGCAGGAGCAGATGTAGATAGAAAAGCAGCAAACGAAGGGGAACATTGAGCAGCAAATGCAGCAGCAGCAAACGCCGCAGCAGCAAATGCAGCAGCAACAGATGCAGCAGCAGCAAACGCCGCAGCAGCAAATGCAGCAGCAACAGATGCAGCAGTAGGGGAGAGATGTAGCAAGCAGCGTATACACCGCAAGGAAGTCATAAATAACTGCAGCAAAAAGAAAGAGTCCTTGCTTCGGGTGTACATACACCTAAAGACGCCTCTTTTAAAGGCCGGTTACAATGCAAATAATTGATAGCTTCAGGTGTATATACACATCAGAAGGTTTGTGGGGTGTGCAGGAGACAGTGAAATGAGACGTCAGGATAATATTTAATAACTGAGGTGTACGTACACCGCAAAACGAACAGATGCATGCATGCATGCATGCATGCATGCATGCAGCAGCAGCAGCAGCAGCACTCACTACATCTTGAGGAAGCAAGAGAATAAAGCGCTGAGGCACTGCAGCAACATCGCAGCAGCGCGACCGCCCAGCAGCAAATAAACGCAGTGCAGCAAACCCCCGCTGCTGCTGCCAAACTGATTCTTATCAAAGACACCCTGCAACAACTCCGAGTCCCTGCAGCAGCAACAGCAGCAGCAGCAGCAACAACAACAACAACAGTAGAAGCAGCAACAAATAAACAAACAAACAAACAAACACATGAAAGAGAGTAAGACTAAACAAATTAACAGCCAAATAAATAAACAGATGAATAAATAAATAGATAAATAAATAAATAAATAAAATAAATAAATAAATAAAATAAATAAATAAATAAACAAATAAACAAATAAATAAATAAATAAATAAAGAATGTAAGCCCACCTAATAATAACCCGACCTTCTTCTTTCTCTCCGTCTTCTGCACCTCCCCAAGCATCACCCGGTGTCTTTGATGATGACTGTAAATTAATACCTTTATAGCCTTTTAACGCTTCTGCTGCTCTTTTGCTGCTGCCGCTGCTGCTGCTGCTAGATGCAGCGCAGCGGCGGAGGCGAGTGCGGGCAAAGCCATCGACGAGGGTCTTCAGAATTGTTGTAATGACCTATAAAACAACACATACTTTTTATTTATTTATTTATTTACATATATATTTGTTTGTTTAGTTTATTTGTTTGTTTGTTTATTTAATTGTTTTAATCTTTCTTTAGTTTTTTGTTTGTCGTTTGTCTCGCGCATTTACTCGCACTCTTTGCTGAGTTGCTAGGTTCGTGCATAAACCCTAAACCCTAAACCCTAAACCCTAAACCCTAAACCCTACCTGTTTGCCCGTCCAGAGGCGTTTCGGCCAGACTACTGCAGGGGGCACAGTGACGATATTCCCCATTTGGCTGCTGCTGCTGCTGCTGCTGCTGCTTGCTGCTGCTGCTGAGATTGTGAAAGAAGACTCTAAAGGCTTTGACCGATCTAAAGTAATTCGCACGCCGCCTCCCTGCTGCCCCAAATATCGTTCTAAGCCAACGTAGACCTGCAGCAAACAGCAGAAAGCCGCAAATAAAACAAACGTAGAACACGAAAGCAACAAAAATAACTTAAAAACAAACACAATTAACTAATTAATTAAATAATTAATTAATTTAAATTAATCATTTAAATTTAATCAATCAAAAACATGCACGCATACACTCAAATATGATCAAAGACAGACACTGTACAAACGCAGGAAGCACTTAATATACATACACCCCACGGAGGTGCCTATACACCCCACAACAACTGCCTGTACACCCCATAAAGGTGCCTATACACCCCACAACAACTGCCTGTACACCCCGTAAAGGTGCCAATACACCCCACAACAACAGCTGCCTATACACCCACAGAAAGGCGCTATGCACCCCACAACAGCTGCCTATCCACCCCACGTAGCTGCCTATACACCTCAAAGCAGCTGCCTATACACCCGGCGTTTGAATGGCATGTGTGTCTCACAAGTGTTTGGTAGCTGTGAACATCGAGAAACGTATCTCTGCATGTCATGATAGCCCCAGCGAGACAATAATCTTGAATGAGGCCTCTAACTAAATCTCCGTTCTTCGGCACTGTAAACTGACAGTCGGCGTTTACTATTTGACAAGCTTCAGAACGCGCAACGGCATCCTGCAGCAGCAGCAGCAGCAGCAGCAGCAGCAGCAAGAGTAGCAGCATCAGAAGCAAACGGGGTAGCAGCACATGCACATGCTCCAGCAGTAGACAAACAGAGCTAAAGACGCAAACAGCAGCAGAAAGAGCAGCACCGCTAGGAGAAGCAGCGCGAGCAAGTTATATAGCAGCAGCAGCAGCAGCAGCAGCAGCAGCAGCAGGCGTTGCGTAGCGTAGCGCTGCTTGCGCCTCATTTTATTTTTTGGTTGTCTCTTCTTTTTTTCAGCGGTTCCTTCTCGTGTATGACTGCAGCTGCAAGTGTAGCTGCTGCTGCTGCTGCTGTTGCTGTTGCTGCTATTGTTGCTGCCAGTGCTGCTGCTGATGTTGTTGTTGCTGCTGCTGTTTACCTGAGGGACATGAAGATTCATCTCATCTCCATCGAAGTCAGCATTATAGCTGCTGCAGTTAACGAAGTTGATACGAAAAACGCGTTCAGCGATTTCTTTTTCTGCCTTTGCTGCAGCAGCAGCAGCTGCTGCTGCTGCTTGTTGCTGCTGTTCTCCCTCTTCCTGTTGCTGCTGTTGCTGCTGCTGCTGCATGCGTTTTCTTAACAAGCTTTGAGTAACTTGTCTATAAGACCCATCCTTTCTCTTAAGTCCTGAAGCCTCTAGAAATGTATTAATATGATATTCACGCGAAAGAGGATAAGCAACTTTAACAAAGTGTGCCATTAGAGACAAACGATGAAGAGAAGGCTGCCTATTCATTAATACTACATCCCCATCTCTCAGGTGTCTGTACACCTTAAATACACCTCCATCACAACTGCCACCAGCAGCAAATGCTTCGACTTCCAGCGCTTTTGCTGCTCGCGCAGATCGAGACATAAACTCCAAGTTAAACCTGAACCGCATCACAAACCCTAAACCCTAACCAACCCTCATAAACCCTAATCATAAACCCTAATCATAAACCCTAATCAACCCTAGTAAACCCTAATAAACCCGAAGAAACCCTAATCAACCCTAATCATAAACCCTAGTCAACCCTAATACACCCTAATCATAAACCCTAATTAACCCTAATCAGCCCTAACCATAAACCCTAATCAACCCTAATCAGCCCTAACCATAAACCCTAATCAACCCCAATAAACCCTAATCATAAACCCTAATCAACCCTCATACATTCTTAGAAACCCTAAGAAACCCTAATTGGCTCTAATAAAACCTTGCAAACCCTCATAAACCTTAATATACCCTAATAAACCTTAATATACCTTAATAAACCCTAAGAAACCCTAAGGAACCCTAAGAAACTCAGCATAAACCCTTAAAAACCCTTAAAAACCCTAAGAAAAAAATGCCTCCAAAGAAATGCCGAAAATAATCATACAACATATTGAGGGGCCTCGGAGAGGAAAAGAGCGACACTCAACGCCAGGGAAAGAGCAGGCAATCCATCCCATACCCTAAACCCTAAACCCTAAACCCTTCTTACGTGTTTCCTTTATCGTCCTGAAGCGCCAGAGCCCCTGGGTGTGTATTGGGGCCATTTCGAATCATTTGACTCAACTGCGCGGCATTGAAGGCTGTCACCGCCTCTGGAACAGACAACTTCATTGCAAACTCCAGAGGCACCGCCACCTGCGCAAACCCTAAACCCTAGTAAACCCTAAACCTTAAACCCTAAACCCTAGAGCACAAGCCCGTAGTCCCGAATGGCACAGTGGAAGGGAAAAAAGTAACCCCCTACCAAACCCTAGCCCGAAGCCACAACCGTAGTTTCCAAACCTAAACCCTAAACCCTAAACCCTAAACCCTAAACCCTAAACCCTAACCTCATTAGGGGCCAAAAGGCCATCAGGTGCCAAGACAGTGCGCGCTGCATAGTTGACGCGTTTGCCCTGCATGCGCTGTCTGATGGCGCCCGCCTTCCTCTCCATCCATTGACGAATGCCAGGCGGAGCTGCTTGGCTGGGCACCCAAAGAATCAAACACAATATATATATATATATATATATATATATATGAGTATGCACGCATGTCTGTATACATGCATATAAATATATACTGGATATATACATCATGCAGAAAGACAAATATATATATATATATATATGCATATATTACATATATGAGTGTATGTGTGCGCATAGATATGAATATATACCTACATATGGATATACACCAGTTAGCAATTAAAAAGGAAAACAATATAAAAGTAAGCGCATGGGCCAACGCGTTGCACCCTGTTGAATGATATAACGCGGTGCATGTACAGCTGAGGGCGTGCATGTGCATCCGTTGTCTATGCAGGTCAAATGAGTGCAATATATAAACACTAACGGTTGTAAGCTGTCTATACACCTGAGAACAGCGGGGTGTATGCACAGATGGGAATGCGTACGGCTTTTCAGCTCTGGTATTGTCAACAATTTCATTTAATTTGAGTTGCAGCTGCAGCGCGTAGGTGCTGAGCCATTTGCCTCCTCCTGCTGCATGTTGTTCGACGAATTCCTGCAGAAGCTGCTGCTGCTCCGGCGCCAACTGCTGCTGCTGCTGCTGCTGCTGTTGCTGCTGCTGCTTGTCTGTTGCTCCTGTGAAGAGCGTAATCCACTGCGTCGGGTCCTTTAGAGCTTCTAAAGGGTTTGGATGTTTTAATACATTGAGAGCAAACTTTAATTTTTCGTTAAGTCGAAGTATATCCTGTAGCTGCTGCGTGCGTGGATGCAGCAGCATACCCCCTGCACCCCTCATTCCTAACCCTCTTGCTGCTGCTGCTGTTGGAGGCCTAAATCTGTTGGCCGGCACCGCCAAAGCCTGCTGAAAGAACACCGAGTGTCCTAACTTAATCGCTGCGCAGTAATGCAGAAGGATAAAGCAAAGCAAACATACACGGAGAGACAACACAACATGTTTAAAGAAAAAACTCGCAATAGTCCCCTCTGTCTCTGTCTCTGTTTCTCTTTTCTCTGTCTGTCTCTCGAAGAAGAAGCAACAAGAGGGATAAAATAAAACAAAGCGAAGGCAAACGCCATCCAGAAATGCCAGTACACTGCATAGTATGCAGAGGCAACAGTACTATAGTAGCAGCAGCAGCAGCAGCAAAAACAACAGCAGCAGTAGCGGCAGTAGCAGCAGCAGCAGTAGCAGCAGCAGCAGTAGCAGCAGCAGCAGTAGCAGCAGTAGCAGCAACAGCAGCGCCTGACTCATAGGAAACAGGTAGTTTAGCAGCAGTCGATCTTCATCATAAGAAAACAGAGTCTGCAGCAGCGGGAACAGCTGAAAGCCTTGAAGCTCCACGCAGCCAATTGCTTTTCCCGTCCGGCCTGCAGCAGCAACAGCAGCAGCAGCAACAGCAGCAGCAGTCATGCATAAGTGATGCGTGCTCGTGAAAGGAGAGTACATACACTGCATGCATGCAGCTGTTTTTTATAAGAGTATTCAAATTGCATGCATTGATTTGGGTTTATTTGTTTGGAGTACACAAACAAAATAAATTTATTTTTTTTTCATAGATGGCTATCACTCACTGTACTTTAGGCAGCCTTCATCGGGGTGAACGCGGCTGTCTGCTGCTGCTGCTGCTGCTGGTGTTGCTGCTGCTTCGCTGCTGCTTGCTGCAGCATCTTTATTAAACAAAGACCCCAAAAAGCTGGTGCCGGTATATGGAAGAGATAATTGCCAAGGCCATCGCAACTCCACCCCTGAACCCTTCGGCGCCAGGTGTACAGACACTGCATTCGCGCTGCGCATACACCTCACACAAAACCCTAAACCCTAAACCCTAAAGCCCTGGGCGTCTCGAGGTTGGGCTCTAAGTCAACGAATCCTCCTGCTGAGAATGGGGTCTGCACACGGAGTCTCTAGCCTTTGGGGTTTAGGGTTTAGCGTTTAGGGTTTAGGGTTTAGGGTTTAGGGTTTACACGCCGCAGTAGCTGCAGCGAGGCACTGCTGCTGCCTGCTCAAGAACTCGGCTGCGGAAGGCCCGCCACGTGGACACCTGAAGGCTGCTGCCACTCAGATCGCTTGCAATATGCTGCAGCATGAAAGCCTTCTTTGACTCTGCTGCTGCTGCTGCTGCTTCTGATGCGCCCGAATCCGCCGGGTTCTCCAGTAGCTGCTGCTCTCCAAGCTGCTGCTGCTCCTGCTGCTGCTCCTGCTGCATGCGAGCGTTAAGTTCTGCATCGACAGCAGCAAATATCTTCAGTATATCCGACCTCCTTTTAAATTCCTCTGCATCCCCAACGTTGCTGCTGCTGCTGCTGCGAGTCACAGCGGAGTCCATTAGCTGCAGCTCCTTCAGCAGCAGCAGCTGCAACAACTGAAACCTCTTCGCCTCCAAGCCCTTCTGCTGACGAGGCATCCGTAGCCTACGGCATTGCAAACAAACCTGAGAAAAGACAGCAGCAACGGCAGCAGCAACTGCAGCAGTAGCAACTGCAGCAACAAGGAAAAGGTCGGCCGTCTACCCTAGCTGCAGCACCGGCCAGAACTGCAGCAATAGCAGCAGCAGCAAGAAGACAGCAGAAGAAGCAGGAAAGTTTTAAGACTCACTCCCTTGAGGAGCTTAACAAGAGAAGGCATCAGAATCGGCTGCAAGGCTGGTAACTCGAGCTCTATGTGGCCGATATGGCCTGGGCAGCTGCCGGAGGCCCCGCAGGTGCCGCATGTTTCCCTTCCATCGAAGACCCCCATGCGGCTGTCATGAAGCCCCCCTGGAACAGCAGCAGCAAGCCCTGCTGCTGCTGCAGCTGCTGCTGCTGCAGCGCCAGTTGCATCGGCTGCCCACTGCTTCTTAGAGCCAGTACTCAAGTCTGGAGCTGCAAAGGCAGCAGGAGATACAACACGACAACAAGATAACTTGCGGATTTCTTCATCTCCTAAAAACTCCAAACGCGCCGACTTGACGTTCGTTGAAACCACCAAATTTGGATCCGGCATCTTCGTCGTCGCTGGAGAAAGCTGACTCCTGCTGAGGGAAGGTGAACGTTTAGGGCAGCATGGGGGAATAAACAAAGAAAAAAGAGCAAACCCAACCTAAATAATCTAAGGATACCGCAAGAAAAACTACAGAAAACACGAAGATGAAGATGTTCAGAAACTCAGTCACACTGCAGCTACCGTCAATACACCTGAAAAGCCGGCCGGCGGCCGCCTCCCATTAGTGCCCGCTGCCTACTTGATAAATATAAAGAGTGAAAAGAGAATTAAAAGAAAAAAGAATCTAAGCTAGTCAGCTTAAAAAGCCCAGAAGTACGCCACTGAAATCAGCATCGAGTCTGGGGCTGCAGCGCCCGCGCGAACAAAATCTGAACGATAACGTAAGGGAGAGAAAGCTTAATAAATAAGTTCTTTTATTAGTCTTCTGGGTTTTCTATTCCATAATTATTTAATTCGCGGCAAAATAACGGCAAAATGTTAGTAGATAACGTCAACGAAGCCTCGCCAGCCTACGCCTGGCGCCTGCGGGGCCCCCCATGTGGGGTCGCAGGGGCCTTGTGTCTGCGTGTGTATTTGTTCAGATTTTTTTTTAGTAATGAAAACGTTTTATCTAAACCAGTTTTATTTCGTATGGAATTGGGAATCTAGCATTTGAAAATCTCCGCTGTTTTTGTTCTCTACTCCTGTGAACTCACATAGCCAGAGCCTGTGGAAGAGAGGGCTCATCGTCTTGCTAGCGATATCTAGAAATATTGGTCCCTACAACAGTTTGACAGCAGTATATAGAAATGCCCTTTAAACTAATTGTCAACAGCTTCAATACTCGCTTTTTTCTAGCCGTCTCCAGCTCAGTTACTGAAGCTGCAAACCTTGAAATAGTTTAGCCTGTCTGACCTTGGTGCTTGTGTTACTATGCTCAGCCGAGCCTCCTTGCTATATGCACGAATACTATAGCGAGCACTTAAAGGCTTAATTGCCTTTCCATATCCATCTTCTGCGCAAGTAGAAATGCACGTACCAGCCTCATAGACCGTGGTACAGGAACGAGGAGTGCACAAAGGCATATGAGGCCTTTGCCTTTCCCCACCGTCCGCAGGGCCTTGTGAAACTTTGCCCAAGCAACCTGCATGCTGGAGGATACGTCTTATCCTATGCAGGAACCCGAATCCAATGCATTTTGACTGTGTTGCAGCGCATCAAAAATTCCTCAGGAAAGGTTGATAACCCTCCATAAGCATGATAGCATCATATGGCTAAGAAGAATACGGCTGAGTGAGGGGGAAGTTCTTCTTCCTCTGTAGGCTGGCATTTTGTGTTGCACTGATTTCATTTCCCCCTAACTCTATGTAAAAGTTGTACGTAGCCCTTCCACCATGGAGTACTGGCCAGATAAACATCTGGATCACTGTGGTGGCGACCAACGGCTGGGTGCCTCGTCTCGCTAGAGCGAGAACAGTAGCGACCACCCATTAGGTTTAAAGTGTTTATTCGAAAAAGCTCTTCATGGAGAATGTTACGCTCGCTGCAGAGTGGGGGCGGTGAATGAATCATCCGCGTCTCCGGAGATGTGGCTTCATATTCAAAGTGCACCGAGAAGGCTGCAGTCTCTATTACCTTTTTTTTTGATAGCGTTATTTAACAACGGGCACCACCTTCCGGAACCACTTCCAGATAACGGATGCTTTCCGAGCTGAGCTGAGCTGCAGGTTGGTCCTCAAGCGGCAAAGGGGCAGCAGGCTATGCAAGCATTGTCAGCGCTTAAACCAAGAAACCTACTGGTAGGTCTTTATATCATGAAGTATCAGTTTTCCTGTGGATCCAGGCGGCCTCTAACCAGATGGGCTATGGAGAGATAACTAGAAGATGCAAAAAGGGGTATGCATTGAGATCATGGAGAGCCTTCGCTTCATTGAGGGGAAAAAGCGCCAATCTTATAGCCCTAAACACTAAATGCTAAGTGGCAAATCCGGTGTCAAGTACACCGCTCAATTAAGAAATGGGCCATATTGTCATGAAACGAGACTTTTATGTTGAGCCACTTCACCAAGGTACAATCTAGGCAGCAGTAATCGTTTCCACTCACGCAATTGACTGCATAGTGTTCCATGTTTCTGCTGAGGCTGCCGAACTAGTTCTCGTGGAGATGGAAGCCATTCGGAAATAGCCGCAATCCTGGTACAGGCACGCGGGCATTCAGAAGTTCCTCAGTCTAGCATCATACAACTGCAGCTTTATTCGTGGATTCTCCCGCATCCCCGCCCATCTGACAGACTTATTAAGGAAACAGTCATGGGTTATTTAGACGAACATCGAATAAGAAGCCGCCAGAAGCCTCATCAGATACTTACATCGTCTCCACGACCCGCACCGCTAGATATGGGCAGACATGTGTCCTAGAAACCGTTGCTCGCGACGCAGCAGTTAGGGTGGTGCCATCTCAGAAAGCCAACTGAGCGATCAAGCATCAAGCGATCGCTTGCTACTCACGCAGTTTTACTTTACGAACGCAAAACCGTCCGGTGCACGAGAAGCTCCATTCAGTCTGGTAGTACGGCAAGCACTTCGCCGTTTGAACGATCATCAATCCATGAAAGGGAAGGCGAACAGCTTTCAAAGCATCGGTAGCCAAATACGTGTTTGGTAGCTTAGTCAAATCACGCAATAAGACTTCACAGTCGAGCACACCAAGGTGGTCGCTCATGCACTCTCCCGGCTCCCTTCAGGTCAGGTCCTTACTTCAACAACTGTGCTATCTGCGATGGCTGCTGTCTTCCTTTTAAACTGGCTTCTTATTCTCCTTAGATACTCACGTGGCTGCGCTTCTTGGTAAGCCTAGCAACGGGCAACGGGTCAAGCACTACACCACTGAGAGCGATTGCTTATGGTACCGAACTCTGAGCATAGGCTTCAGCTTAGCTTGATGCCGGCATTCTGAACAAAATGTACGGTCGTACTTTAGCAGGGCCATGGTGGAATAAACATAACAGAGATTTTAGTTGCTTAGGATGCGTCGCTCCAAGCCTCCCCGATGCAGTAGGAAATCTGCGTTCAAAGAAAAGCATGCATATGCATGTGAGCCTCTTAGTGAAAGGTAAAGGTGAGTTAGACCATATTATCAATTTCACTTCATTGGATGCTACTTTCTTGCTCAACGGCAACCTGTGTAGTACAGAATTACCGCTATTTGACCACGCGAACCTCAGGCGGCAACGAAATTTGAATGGGCGTTTGAGCGAAACTGGAACTGAAATAACTATTAGGAACAAACAATATTTTCAATACATTCTATTTTTACTTCACGTATCTGAATATAAACACGTTTGAATGCCGATTTCCTCCTCCATCCGCAGCTTCACCCGCGCTATGTGTTTCTGCCGAAAAAGGGTCCAGGTGTAGCCAATACAACGAAACAAGACTCTATAACCTCGAATTTCAATTAAAGGATTAAAATATTCTAGCTGAGCTCATGGAACATGAAGTTTCTGAATGAGCGTTTGGCTCCCGCAGCCTTGCTGCAGTCTCATTGCCCAGTGGTCTGAATGGCAGCTGCGCTTCTGCGCAGCCTCCTCCCCCTGCACCCCGTCCTTAATGAAACAGCATTGTCTTCCTTATTATAGCTTTATGGAATTCAAAGCCATTTACGCTTCTCTTTTACACCATCCCCACCCCCCCCTTCCCCGTCAACAACTGCCTTCTGGGCCACTCCACACCTGTGGAAGTGCAGGTTTCCGCGGCAGGTGAAACTCCACTGTCCAGGAGAAAAAAACAGCGCTATAGGCTTGTTGCCTTGCCTTTCTCAAGTTGAATTCTTGCTTTTTACTGTTGAACGTCAACGTAGACATTTGCGGCGTAGCCCAAGCAATGACTCGCCACTTCAGGCGACAGCAGAGAGGCGCTAATAGACCTTCGTTGGTCGCACTCTTTCTTCCTCTCTGTTTGTTCTTCTTTGCCTCTTCATTTTCAATTTTCTCCATCGTCGTGGCAGCAGCCATCCCAACCCAGCAGCAGCAACAGCAGCAACAGGGCGCTGTTCTTCCAACTCCCCCCACCTATTCGTATCTGCCGGAAAATGTAGAAGAAAACACCCAGACAAGGAAAAGCATTTTGTCTAGAAGCCGGAGTGTGAGAGCACCTCAATCACCTCCGGATAGCTCCTTGTGCAACGCGTTGCAAACAGCCGAGGAAGCGGCAGAGGGACAGGTAGACCATGCAGAAGAAGGTGAATTGTTTGTAAAGGGCGATGAAACCCTCATAGAACTGCAGCGCAACACAGCAGCAGCCTCATACGGAGACGGAGAGGAGTCTGTCTCGCTTCCTTCTAATGGGGGCGCAAAAGAATTACGCCCTTCGCTTACAAACAAGTCTTCAAACTTCCTTCAGCATGCTGAGGGAAGTATTTCTGCTATCGAAGCGCTCCCCTTCCCTCCCGCGGCTACTTCTGGTGTGCATACACCTGATATTGACTCACTCGCACCTGCGCCAGCCATACACCGGCAACTGCAGGGCTTTGACCCCTCTCAGCTGGGCCCGGCAGCGCAGTACGCGCAGTACCTGACAACCTTTTTGCCAGGCCAGCAGCAGCAGCAGCAGTTGCAGCAACTGCAGCAACTGCTCGCTGCGAGTGGGCGCGGGGGCCTCACCCCTGCCGCTGTCAAGCAGCTGCAACGGCTACAACGACGCGCCCAGGCAGCAGCATATGCAAACTCAGTTACATCGCATCCTCTGCTGCAGGGGTTGCTGAGGACAGCTCTCACAACAGTAACGGAAACATTGCAGAGTGTCTCTCTAGCAGATGTCGTGCAAAGTGCTGTGCCCCTGCCCCCTCCCTTAGCTAGATAGCTCCGGCAGCAGCTACAGCTGCTCTTGCTGCTCCTGCTGCACCTGCTGTGGCTACCGTATTGGAGAGCAGCAGCAGAAGCAGCAGCAGCAGCAGCTACAGCAGCTCAAGATCTGCACGGTTTGCTGAGAACAGGCAACACCGTGCCCGCACAATGTGCATGGAGATGCACACTGCTATACTGGCATCTGTACTTTGTTGTGCTTGACGAACCACCCCACGGGGATATATATATGTATATGAACTTCTCTACCTCCGTCCTCACTGCTTTTTCATAGGCGTACACTGAAGGCAAAAAGAAACACAAAGCGTCCGTTGCATTTTGTTTGTTTGTGGTTGTTGGCAAACGCAACCACAACTTGCCCTGTTAAAGAGAGCATCGTTTCCACGTTGCTTAGAACCTGAACCCTAAACCCTTTGTAGCTACCCTTAACCCTTCCCCTCAGATCTTCTTTCCGATTGTTTGGAGTTCAAACCCTATCATAATCTGACATCGTAAATCCCATATCCTAAACCAGCAGACTAGAATCATATACTTTATTATACTGGCATTTTGTAGGAGCCATTTGGTTAGTAATTCACTTTACTTTCTATACTCTATCACAGCTGAACGCCGGCAGATATTTAAATGGTTGGGAGTCTCATCACTTGACAGGCAGTAAAAAGGAAGAAAAGAAGAAACTCAGCATTGAGTTGGTTCGTACGTGCCTCCCCCTGCTTCTGCCCGTACAACGGTAACGTCAAGACACCTGGACGTTTGAGAGTTCTCCACACATGCAAGCAGCGAGGATATTCTGCTCCATGCATACGAGCATGCATGCACGCAAGCGCGTGCACAAAGGGAGTGACAATGCGAGAAGAGTACCTAAAAATGAGCAGGAAAAGAGGCACCGATTGCGTTGCGGGCGCAGCTTCGCATATACATAAATGCGTATACCTTTATGACTACATCATCATTGTTTGTGCGTGCTACCGAATCCGGCAGCTACCACAAGTAGATTTCTGTAGACAAATTTTATCTAGGCAACTACAATGAAATGATATTGCACGAAGAGTGCAGAAAACTTCGCCAGCAAACGCCTCATCATTTCGAGGCAACAGAAGAACGCCTAAGACCGTGCTATATCTCTGTGGAGATTGATGACCTTCATGATTTTGTGTTCCATCATGTATGCTAAGCATTCAACTACAACAGAAGAGCAAACCAGGGATCTAACCCGGGTAAATTCTTGGAGTCCGCTGGTTGGGCGGGTTCACTGGCTAACTCTTTTCTTAGTTTCTCCGCTCTATCCGTGAGTTCAAATGCTCTTCTTCGGGCGCCTAGAGCCATTTTTTCGGTTGAGTTGTCCAGTTGGGGGTCGGCGCATAGTTTGAAGCCGGAATGGGCTCTCTTACGGGTTTCAACGAGTTGTAAAAGCCTTCCTACGCG